CCTCACATCAGCAGTGTACACCCATGGGCAAATGGGGGATGCTAAATTGACCAATCAGAGCGCATGCTTTACTTTGGTTATGTTATAATTTCAGTTGGTACCTGCTGACAGTAAAGATCAAATGAAACAAATGATAGTTTGTATGTAGAACAAGCATAGGAACAGACTGATGGGTCAGGAGACCTCAGTAGAATTTCTGCCAAGGACAACAAGTCAGGGAAATATTCCCTTAGAATCTGAAAACAAAAACAAAAACAAAACAAAACACTTAAAAGAGAGTTAAAGCAATTACATCAGAATCAGGGTGTGACGAAACTGCAGTCCAATAGCCGGGACTAGTGAAACCTCCGTTTTGTTTTTGTTTTGTTTTTTCTGAAACTTTCCCAATGGTTGAGCACAATTTGTTGAGACAAAGTGATGTTTCTTATAAGGACATATCAGTTACTACCTCAATAAGATGGTGGGTATCATTCCTCTTCTAAGATTATATAATTTGTCTTGGGGGCTCATTAAATATGATGCTCTATTTGAAACATTTACATAATACCATAACTGTTCTCAGCTTGCAGTTTGTACAAACAATAATTGCAAATCTTCACCTGTGAGTGTGAACTGAATGCTGCACTCAGCATTTCTTCAGTAAAGTGACCATTTTTTATTTTGTTCCTAATCAAGCTTTCCATGGCCTTCTTTCGATTTGCAGTGGAGTGGAGAATAAGCAGCACAAACAAGTCCACAACCTGTACAAAAGAAAGTTTCATTAAAACTTATACACAGCTGCCCCAGTGACTGCTAAGGAAGTGTGGTAAGATACAAAACTACTGATGGTGTCAATAATCATGAATCATAGTGGAATGGTTAAACTGAGTAAAGAGTAAAAAATCTGTTTTAATCAGACCACACAATTCATTGGACAGACACCCTTTACAGAAGGCACCCCATCCTTTCTAGAATGGCCACAACCATTTAATAGAAAAATTACATTGTTAAATGGGAAAAAATTTTGAGGCTTTGACAACTACGTGCTGTGTACAGGACTACCACTTAATATGCTGGCCATTAATACAGGTCCAACTTTTTCTTTCTTGTTTCTGATGTCTGCTTTTTCTACAAGCAAATCAATCTTTTTAACAAGCAAACAAAAGTGGGAAGTACAAACTAATCTATGAACTTGGCTTATGCACTTGCTTTAAATGTGCAAAAGAGACAATTCCCAGTTCATTTCAACAGGTTTTTTCTGAGATTGTGGACAAAGTAAGCCAAAACAAGCTAAGTATCAAGGGACGCCTCTATAAAATGGAACTGAGTTGTGCAAAGTACCAACCTTGTGTTTCACAGGAGAATTAACAGATTCAATGGCCTGCAATTCAAACAAAATAAAAACTATTTGAAAATGTAATAACTATTTCACTGCTATGAAATTGCTAAATTAAGTTTCCTTGTACATTGTTACAAAGAAATAAATCAAATTTGTTCATCGACAGAAAAATAATGGCAAGATACACTTACCTTGATCCAACCTTCTGCAACTGATTTCTGGAAGCGGATTCCTGAACAGATTGCTTCAAGTGTAAAAAGCTCCCCATCACTTGTTGACCTGATTAACAGATATCATAGTTACATAGAGAATAAGATGTGCACAAGCAAAGAAGTGGAATTTCTCACCAAGTGTTAAATTCAATATCTCACAAGTGGGCATTGTAGTGTTAACAGTTGCAGTATCTATTGCTGAGATACAAACTAAGCCTCACCCTCCCCTTGAAGGTCGTTGCTGCTCAGCAGGAGTAGAGCAGGCTGAAGGTTGCAGAGTGGTTGATGTGAAGTCCAGGTTTGCTCGTAATTCACTGATCACCTGGAAGAGAAAGGTATTGTGGGGACAATCAACGAAAATCATCCAAAGCGAAAAAAAGGACAAAAGAGAAAAGGAATCAAGCAAGACTAGAAGCTAAGAAAGGAAGACTGAAGGAAGTGACATTTTTTTAAGTACTTTTTTTAAATGCTATCTTTTCCCTATGAGGATTTCTTCATAGCAGCAGAGGGACAAAGTACAAAAGTACAAAAACTACAAAATTTTCACTCAACACGTCCACAGTAGCTTTACAACACAACTGCAAGTATACAGTACCTCAAAAGCATCATTGTCACTAACAGATTGAAGTATAAATTTGACAACAACTGGCAAGTCACTGATTTCTGCAGATGGTAATATCTGTATCACTGATGCTCGCACCTGAAACATCAAGATTATTACCCTCAAAATTAATTAACATAATCTTATTGTACAGTCTGTGGTAAAGGAATGTTCCTTATTCAAGGACCAAGCTCAAAATTACCACCTTTCTTTAGTTATTTATTTACTCACACAATGCTTTAACATTGAAATACATGTAAGCTACACAATTTCTTCCACAAATAAATGCATACCTCAGCTAAGAGATCAGAGTGTAAGTTAAGGTTAGACAAGGCATCAAGGATTGGAACTGTAAGTCCTGTGTTCTGACATAGAAGTTCGCTAAATAAAATACAAACCATATAGATAATGTTAATTTATATCTAACAATTATTCGCCGAAGGCAAGGTGAATTATTGTCCAATAATCCCCCAGACAAAGTCGAGGGGATTATTTGACAATATTCACTGAACCTGAGGTGAATAATTGTTTTAGTATAATTTCAGAGCTAAACAACAGAGAAATTTCTAAAATCATAACATTTTAGTAACATTTTTTATTTTAACATTTTATATAAACCGTGTGAAGCAGTTTCTATAGCATCATATAAGGAACCGCTCGACCAATCAGATTGCTGGAAACTCTTTGCTCAGCTCTGAAATTATACTAAAGAAAAATTAAGCACTGCAAAACAGCTGGTGCAATAATCAAACAATAAATAAAAATATAAATCAAATCTTGCACATTAAACACTGTTTACTAAGATCAAATTCCAAACCAATTTCATTACAAGCTTTAATTTTTTTAGGTAAATGAGTGGGTTCTGTCTTCTCTAAATTTTTAACAGAGGGGGGCAGGGTGGGTTGTAATCACTTTGTAGGGCTTCTAGGTGAAGGTTTATTCAGCCTGCGAAACAGGTGTCATTTTTTGTTTTTGGTATTTTCAGGTAAGGAGAGTAAACACAGCACAGCATTGTGCAAAGGATGAATAAAGAATCAGAGGAAGAACACCCCTAGAAGTCACCTTACTCTAGCTTCTCATCACCTGAAAAACAGGGAGAACAAAATGATGCCAGAACTGCAGGCTAGGGCCTATATGAGAAAGGGGGACCATACACTATATACCACCTCGCCCAAATGAATAGAAGTACCACACAGAACACCCCACACACTGTTCATATAGCATTATTATTTTGCAAATGGGAGGGGGGACATTGTTACAGATGTAGAACTAATAAGAAACTTGAAACTATAGATGGGAAGCTTAGTAGACATAGGAGGATGCTAGTTCCCCCCCTCCCCCCACCGCAAAAAAAAAAAAAAAAAGAGAGAGAAAGTGAAAATGAAAAAATTGATCACCTAAGTTCCCTTGCTACTTCAGTGTGTTCTGCATCATCCAGTACTTCAGGAATGCATGTGATAATTTCACGCTGAATTTCCACAGATGTTATTCCTACAATCTCCAGCATCTTCTCAGCCAGCTCCTAAATTTCCAACAATACATAACACAGCTTAAATACACCTGCCTTTGCGGATGCATGTAGAAACCGGAGTTAAGCACCGGCCTAATGGGCCACTAGGCTCGTAAACAGACTTTACCTTGCAGATGCAT